ATTGTACCTCTTCCCAAGGCCTCAGTATGGTTTGGGGTGGGTTTCTAGGGTTGCGGCTGATCACCCTGCCCTTGCACCTCACGAAATGCCCCCATACGACCAAGCGTCTCAAATAGCCTCTGCTGAGGAAGCCCTACTCACTGCCTTCTCGCGGCGGAGGTGTTTTCCCACCAAAGTGAGAGGACGAAAAGCCGATATCCGGGGCTATAGCCGGGTTGGTGGACCACTGGCAGTCCACCTACGGGGTTTGGCCAAAAACCCTGATTCCAAACCAACCATGAGGAGACGTACGAACCACACCCACACCTTTTCGGTTGTGGCAGTGGTCACCTGCTCGATTGGGCATTGAGGTGTATTGGGCACCTTGGACGTCTGACTTCGTCCGAAGGGTGTATGATCCGATGAACTGGACACTGGCCCCAATGGATTGCGGTTTTTGCACACCACCCCGCTGCCTTGCGGGTCAGGCTTTGGCTAGCCGAAGAATCCGGTTGTGGATTACTCAAGAAAATTCACCTGCCTTGGCCTGGGCAACCTGGCAGTACTCAGCCCACAAGCCAATCATGGAACATTTTTCTTTTTATAAAGATTATTGTACCATGATTTGTTTGGCACACAGCCTGCCCTCAGACAAGTGTGAAATATGTATGGATTGTACCTCTCAACCACTTTGTTGTCTTGCCAAAACTATCGCCGAACCAGCTCCCGCGATGTATATCCCAACGAACCCAGTTAAAAGACAGTTGCAAACAATGCTGACCTTTGTTTGTAGCACCAGCCAAACGTTAATTTTAAAACAGATATTAGTCTGGTTGATCACAGTCTGTCATTGTGAAAAGGCTGCCCCCTTGTTCCAGTTGCTGAGAAAGGACAGGAAGTTTGAGTGGACACCAGCGTTGGAGACGGTCTTCCAAGAACTAAAAACAATCGCGGCTTCTGAGAGATGTCTGAAAATACCAAACCCTGCTGAAACCTTCACTGTAGCCGTCGATGCTAGCGATACTGGAATCGGAGCAGTGCTCTCACAACCTTCCGGAGTAATTGAATATGCCAACGGCCTGCTCCCAGACGCCGAAAGGAAGTATTCGATCACTGAAAAGGAGTGCCTGGCGATCGTGTGGGCATTGGAGAAATGGCGAATGTATTTGATTGCGAACACGTTCCACATCAAGAAAGACCAAAACCCCTTGACGTGGTTGATGACGGCGCGCGACCCGAGAGGAAGACTGGTGCGATGGACGTATCGTCTTCAGGAATTTACTTTTACCATTGAGCATGTTGACGGCAAGGACAACGGGATTCCCGACTTCCTGTCGCGTCCGATGCACGAGGAAGGTGTCCCATCGGAGGCCATCCCAGTTTCCCGGCTGGTTTCGAGCGATGTGGAAATTAATAAGTATCAGAAAGAAGATAACCTGGTGCTAACGATCTGTAAACATTTGCGGTCAGAAACGAATCCGGAAGAAACTTCACCCGAAATAGGAGAATTATAGAAGATCTGAGATCGCCTGCATTTAAACAATGAGACCTTGGTGGTTGAATTGGATCAATAGACGTTTTTCCCACCCAGCTCGTCTTCTCGCTACAATTGGTCCGGGGTTACGAGGGCACGAATGGAGAAGAGAACGCACGACTGCGCATCCAGGACCCATAGAGAAAATGCGGACACGTTCTCACGGTGCCTGTTGTTCCATTTCAAATACAGCCCATGAAAATTCTCAGAAGTGAATAAACAGTTTTACTCACACACTGTTATTCATGATTCAATAGTGCATTCCATGCTCTTCAAGGGTTCACAACGGACCCCTAAGAAATGTTTTTGCCTTCGGTTAAAGTTCTTCATGAAAATCCCTGGGCTTACCAATTAGTTTCCAGTGAATCGTCTTACAAAATTGACGGTTTGGCGTACCATGATCCTATTTCCATCGGATAATTATAATTATTTGTGTGGTATTGCAGTGACAAGCTGGACTCAGGATAGGTACAATAGTCTCTGGGTTCAACCTCCCCGTCACTTCAATTTTATTAGTTCAATACCAAGTATGTAATGCAAAACTTCACATTACGTACTACTGACGTCGTAAGACTGAAATAACAACCGAATGGAGATTGCGAAACAACTGAGCTATATATGCACCTGAATGTGCGCGCGTATTGAAACGTTTTCACTTCCAGTGTGTGGTTGGTATTCCGTTCTGACAAGGCCACGATCACGGTGTTATTTTTTTTATTTATTCGTTGAATCAACGTTTTCTAGGTCCATTGGTTCATAAAAGGTCACAATCGCTTCCACTCTGTTCCTAACTCTAATCGGACTCACAAACCACGTTAACATTCCTTCTTGGATGAAGACCCATTTAAACACGTTTTTCATTGATAATTCCTAATTCGTCAGTATATTCTGTCATTCATTCACTGAACCGATTCATCACTCCATCGAAATCACTCAGCGTATACAGCAACGTGTTCAAAGGCATTTAATTAAAACCCGGTATCGTAAAGTTGTAAGGTAACAACCGTATCCATAAAATCTTCCGTAAAATCGGAGAAATGATTGGTGAGACAGACCTTTTGGTTTCTGCACATCCTCATGCATCAGAATCTTGCCTTGATGTCGTTAATTATTTGAATATTTGTTTGGATGCATTCTGCCCCCGAAAAGCTTCATACATTTGTTTGGATCCAACAGTTTGACTTATCCTTGAAAAATTACGTCTCTAAAAGGAACTAGCAAACAAAGCGAAAGACCACAATTCTACCAAAGCTCTCATTAAAAGCCTAAAATTACCCGTCGGTGTGTTTGCTCAGGCTTTTCAAGATCATCAGGACTTGTTTTAAAAATCGGAATGTGTTTCAAAAGTTACAAAGTTATGAAGAACAAGTTATCATCTAGCAAATCAATCAACACTACAAGGAGTGTTTCGGTTGAACTTAAGGAACTTGGGTGTGAACATCGCTCGCGGGTAATGAGTGAGTCAATGTGTTCCATGAACTGCGCTCAATGAAACACAGAAGCTATTTGTTCAACGGAATATACTATGTTGCTGTCCTCGGATTTATTTGACTAATTCTTGGGTGGACGCTGAACATCACAGCAGCTTCCTAGAAAGGCTCTATTCACTTTCGTTCAATAGGTTGTAGTACTTCATCCTCGCTGGATGTGCTCAAAACTTCCTTCTACGCACGTCTGCACATAAAACAATAAATGACACGTGTCAACTGTGTTTGGTAATCCGACATTCACCCTCGATGCGTTTGAGTCACAGGTACACTGTGCTTAGTCGGCACTCGATAAAACTGTCTTGCACGATACAGAAATGCATTTAGTAGCGTTCTGAGAGATAAAATTCTTGTTGTTCTAGCTCGATTTAGGT